GGCCTGGGGTCGCCCATCCCCGTGGCAGCTTCCCCGTGCAGTGGCCAAACGCCGTGAGCCACCTCTGGTCCCTCTTTCTCACGCCCCACCCCAACCTGCCAAAAGTCCTGTTGTTACTTCAGCCTTCAAAGTGTAGACGCAGAGCACATCACGCTCCACATCCCGTTCCTAGCCAAACCTGTCACTTCTCACCAGAAAAGGGACTGTCCACCCCACCCACCCCCATCAGCCAGGGAGCCTAGAGGGCACAGGCCCAGGGGACAGAGCCTGCCTTTTAGTCTCCCTCTGACCTGTAAGGCCCTCCTGGTCCTCATCTGCCCCGCACTCCGCCAGCACTGGCCTTTGCACTGGCCTCAGCATACAGCTCACTGCCACATCAGGGCCTTTGCACGGGCTGTGCACCTGGAAAGCTCCACCCAGCCTTCCGTCTCCCTCACTTCGGTCCAGCTCTGCTCCAATGTCATTTACTCTGTGCTGTCATCATTTCCCCACTATATCTGCTAAAAGAGCCCCCACCTCCGTCCCTCATCCCTTGCTTTGCTTGGTGTCCCTCCACAGCGCACGTCATAGCCCCTCCTTTCAGTCTCGGCACAAAAAAAAAAGGCCTCTGGGCAGCCCTGCACCTGGCGCTGCCCACCTTGTCCAGCATCCTTGAACTTGATGGTTCTCCGCCGGGGTAGCCGGGGGCTGGAGGCCACCTCAGCCAGGAGCCCGGAGCCACAGAAGCCCAGGCTGCTGGCCCGGTCCCTGAGCACCAGCTTCAGCTCTTGGTTCTCCTGGATCAGCCGCACCAGCCGCCGCAGCTCCTCGTTCTCCTGTGCCAGCCGCTGGATCTCCTGCCGCAGGCCCTCATAGCTGCTGAGAAGGGACATGCCCAGCAGCAGGGCAGCAGCTGCCAGCCACCGGAGGGCTGGCGAGGGACAGCGGACCCCGCCATTGTGAGGTCAGCACTGCCCCCACCCCTGCAACTCGGCCACATTCCGGGGCTTCGGAGCCAGGCCCGGCAGACTGACCACCTGGAGTAGGCATGCCTGACCTCTGACCTTCAGCTTCCCTCCCTGCGGAGCCCAGACTTGCCCGAGGCCTTGGAGTCCCTTGAGGGCCCTGGAGAACAGAAGCTTCTTCATCCCAGGCCAGCATGTAAAGGAGCTGAGATTCAGGTGTTCCCACCTGCCTCCTGGCCACCAGCTGCATCTCCACCCACCTGTGCCAGATTGTGGGGCTGGGTGAGTGGGCATGGTCCCCAAGGCGGTCACAGCCGGCACTGCATCTGGAGGGTGGGTGTTTGAGCTGCCCCGAGGCGGGGGGCACGGGCCCAGCAGCTGGAGCTAGATGGTGCTGACAGGGCCCGTCAGAACCCAGGAGCAGGGTGCTGAGCATGTTGGGCTCAGGTTGGAGGCCCAGAGATGAACTGGGCGGTGCTGGGCCTGCTGCAGGGGTATAGGGAGTGGCGCTGTCACTCAGAAGGCTGGCGCCCTGGACAAGGCCCTACATTCAGGGTCTTGGCCCCTGGGGGCAGGCAGCAGGTAGGCCCCATGAGAGGTCTGATGACAGTAGATTCCTGACAATTGGATTTCCATAGATCAGGGTATTGCTCTGGGCGAAGCCAGCTGCCACACACCCCCAGCTTCCCCAGCCCCTGCTCAGGGTGCAAAGCAGAGTGGAAGGTCAAGGAGCTCCACAGAGAGGCTGAGCAGGCTGGCTGCCTTTGGAGGCTGAGTGTGGCAAAGCATTGTGGGAGATGTCAGTGGTGAGAAGTCACAAAAAAGTTCCAACAAATTACCACGAACCTGAAGGCTTAACACAAAAGACATTTATTCTCTTTCAGTTCTGGAGGTCAGAATTCCAAGCTGAGTCTCACGTGCTAAAAATTAAGCTGTCAGCAGGAATGGTTCCTTCTGGAGGTTCCAGAGGATTGGTGCTCGCCTTGTCCGGCACTCAGCATTCCTTGCTTTGTGCCTATGTTACTGCAGTCTCAGCCTCCGTGGTCACCTCGTCCTCTCTTCTTCTGAAACCAAACATCCCTCTGCTTCTACCTTAAAAGGACACTCATAATGACATCTGGGGCCACCTGGATGATCCAGGACAATCTCCCATGTCAAGATCCTTAAATGTAATCACATCTGCAAAGTTCCTTTTGCTACATAAGGTAACGTTCGTAGCCTTCGGGGATCAGGACGTGGACGTCTTTGGGGGTGTTCTGCATCTTACTACACTGGCTGGACCCGAGACAGACTGGAAATCTTTCTCCAAGCACACACAGATCCGTTAGCAAAGGATGGTACCTCACTGGCTCAGGGAGCTTAAGCACAGTCTTTGCCCAATAGGGAGCCAAACTCCAAACCACGTTGACCCAGATACAACTTCCAGTTAGCTAGGCTTAAATATAAGAACTGGCGGTTGAGATATTGAGTAGTGACGTGGGAAGCTGCACAGTAGGGGGGAAGTTGCGCAGTACGGAGCCAGACTAGCCTCTAGACGGAGAAACTAACAAAACAGCAGATCAACAAGCCCAAGGAGGGACTGGCTAATCATAACCCAGAGCCACTGTAATAGATCATCTAACATGCCCAGTTTTCAACAAAAAATTGAGACCTGCACAGAAACAGGTTAGTGTGACAGCTGCACAGGAGAGGTAGGATCTAGACTTTGAACTCTGGGATATATCCTGGTACATCTGCCCCTTGGGTTTCTCACTGCCAGGATTATCTAGATGGACTTAAGGTATTTTGTGAGTGAAAAACACAAAAATGTGTATAAAATGATCCCATTTTAAAAGGGAACCAGAATTCCAAAAGCCATTGTATGGCTGTACACGTACAACTTCCTGTCATAGTGTATAATTTACATGTAATTCCGCGAATACAGAGAAAAACATGGAAATAACCACTTATTAAAGTAAATGGAGGGGGTGTGCAAGCCAACGTGCAAAATTAAAACTGCTCTAAAACGTCATGTGACCATATGTATGTATAATATAAAATTGTCTATTTTAAATGGACGGATGTCAACACCGAACGGTTAAGAGAACGTGAAGAGCAAGTATGTCGCAGCTCGAGAGAATGAACGAGCGCACTGGCCCGCACAGGCCACACCGCGCTTCCTGCAGCGGTCGCCGCTCCCGCCCGCGGACCTCCAAGGAGACTCCAGGCTTCACAGAGACGCAAAGGCGCGGGGGGCCGACCCGGGCGCCATGGGAATCGCCACGCGACAAGCCCGATGGGGCGTGACCGGGGTACTCTGCCCGCAGCGGGTCTCCACCAATGGCAGCCGCGGAAAAGCTCCCCAAACGGACGCGAGCGGAGCCCGGCCCGGCCAAAAAAACCCCGCCCCGCCGCCGACACTGCCCGGGACCGGAAGTGAGGAACGCGGCGCCGCCCGGAACCGTAGTTCTCTGAGGCCGGAAGTGGGGGGGGCGTCCGCGCCGCCGGGAGCCGCAGTCCTCCGGGAGGCGGAAGCGGGTCTGGCGGCCGGGCGGCATGGCGGGGCTGGAACTCCTGTCGGACCAGGGCTACCGGGTGGACGGGCGGCGCGCCGGCGAGCTGCGCAAGATCCAGGCGCGGATGGGCGTGTTCGCGCAGGCGGACGGCTCGGCCTACATCGAGCAGGGCAACACCAAGGCGCTGGCGGTGGTCTACGGGCCGCACGAGGCGAGTGGGCGAGCTCCGGGGGCGGGCGGCGGACTCGGGCGGCGACGGCCGGCGCACGCCTCCGTTTACGCAGCACATATTCCGGGCCGGTTCAATCGGAGTAAAAGCCAGAGTCCTCGCACCGCGGTGCACAGTGGCCCCCGTCCGCTGCGCCCTCCGCTCCTCCTCGCCCTTCCTCAAAGCGCCAGGCGTGCCCCACCCCCTCGTTTCCTCGCCTCTATTCGGACTTCACTGTCCAGGTGACACCTCCCCAGCCCACGGGGCAATGCCCGTCCCTCCAACCACACGCTTTCCGGCCTTTCTGCACCTGTCACCTCAGACACCAGTTTAACTTCTCTTTCTCATAATTTGTCTCCCCACTGGAACATAAACTCCGTGAGGACAAAAACTTTAAATAAAACTGCCTGGTTTTAATGCCATGTCTCCAGTGCTGTAATAGTGCCTGCCAGCACGAGCACTGAAAAACTGCTTAGCGCAAGAGTTTAAGAGCTCAGCCTTGGGAGGGGATGAGGCAAGGATGGAAACGGGGAGGCCTGTTAAGACAGATCAGATTCAGAGGTGATGGTCGCTTAGACTGTTCAACTGGCCCTCCCTCGGACTATGTCTTGGAGGTAAAGCAGTTGTACTTGTTGAGATGTTGGAGGCAGAGGGAGAAGGAGGGAGGCTGAGGTTCAGGGCCTGAGCCCAAGGAGGGGTCATGTGGGCTGGGAGGGATGGGCTTAGCTCATGGGTCCTTCTCCCACAGATCCGGGGCTCTCGCTCACGAGCCCTGCCAGATAGGGCCCTGGTGAACTGTCAGTACAGTTCTGCGACCTTCAGCACAGGTGAGCGCAAGCGGCGGCCACATGGAGACCGGAAGTCCTGCGAGATGGGGCTGCAGCTGCGTCAGACTTTTGAGGCGGCCATCCTAACACAGCTGCACCCATGCTCCCAGATTGACATCTATGTGCAGGTGAGCAAGCAGTAGCCCTAAACCCAAGGAGAGGAGGGAGATGGAGGGTATGAGGGGGCGTGAGGGTTGGCAGCCTCATGGACTGATGTCACTGGGGGGTCCGTGCAGGTGCTGCAGGCAGATGGTGGGACCTATGCAGCTTGTGTGAATGCAGCCACGCTGGCAGTGCTCGACGCTGGGATACCCGTGCGGGACTTTGTGTGTGCCTGCTCAGCTGGCTTTGTGGACGGCACAGCTCTGGCAGACCTCAGCCATGTGGAGGAAGCAGCTGGTGGCCCCCAGCTGGCCCTGGCCCTGCTGCCGGCCTCAGGCCAGATCGCACTCCTTGAGATGGATGCCAGGCTGCATGAGGACCACCTGGAGCGGGTACTAGAGGCCGCTGCCCGGGCCGCCCGCGATGTGCACACTGTGCTGGACCGTGTGGTCCGGCAGCATGTACGTGAGGCCTCTATCTTGCTAGGAGACTGAGCATCTGGCTACCCTGCCCAGAATAAACCCACACACAGAGCACTGCACGTTTCTCTCCCCACAGCACTTCATACCCTCAGAGCCTCACCTGGTGCTAGCTCCTGAGGGTGACCAGGGACCCTCACCCACACACGGACGACATACCTCTTGCAGCCTCAGGGTTCAAACCCTGAAGAAGAAGGTGGGGGGAGTGTGTCCCTGGGTGGAGAGAGCAGCTTGTGCCCAGAAGGGCTCAAGGCAGCTGAGCAGTGAGGTTGGGCCTGGCAGAGTGAGCCCAGCCACTGGACTGTGGAGTCTATTATCCTCACCCACATGTGCAGGGCCCTGAGCAAAAGGGCTGATGGAGAGCTCAGCTGGCTGTGGGTGCCCACCCTGGAGATGTAGGGGCCACGTCTGACATTCTATGGGCTACGGCTTGGACTAAATGACTCCTTTCCCCCGAAGAACTCTTTGGGCCTGTCCTGCTACTTTGGGCTCCAAAAGTAAAACAGACACATGCCCTCACTTCGGGCCTTCTCAGCCCTGACCTGTCTGAGTCATCCTCAGTGGGACACAGGCACTCCCCCTCCCCACCACAGCACCTTTTTCTTCAACAGACCCCCCCTTCCTCCACATCCTGCTCTCAGACCTGCCTGAACTCTGACCACTTGCCCCTGGAGTCTGCACTCAGAGTGCTTCTCCCCTAAAATCCGGTAACCTCCCGGCCTAGACAGCAGTGCTCCCCAGCCCCTTTGAAACCTATTTAGGCTAGTGGTGCCATCTGCACCTGCCTCCTTCTCTTGGTCATCTGACCCCGTCACCCGGTGCTGGGCTTATGCTGTGATTCTGCTCATGCACTCACTGCCATTTTTGGTGACCGACATCCATAGGAGTCTGCCAACGCTTGGTCTCATTTCACTGGGCCCTCTACTTCCCACCCACTCCACTGGCACTCAGACCTGACATTGCCGGCAGCGGCACCTTCAGAACATCTGGTCACCGCCTCCGCTTTTCCACCCACCTCTCTTAATTGACCATTCATCTCTGATTCTCTTAAGAGCCGGAGCTTTCTCGCTGCCCCCGAGCAGCCCGGGAGGCGACAGCTCGTGTTCACCGCTCGCCGCCGCCGCCCTAGTCCTGCTGCCGCCACAGCCACTCTGTTCCGGGCATGCGCGGTGGTGCCCCGGGGGGCGGGGCGTGGGCTGGTGCCGCGCGTGCGCGACCACGCGATGGCTGCCGGGACCGGAAGTGCGGGCGAGCTCGGAGCTCCACTTCCGACCCGGGCGGCGGGCCCGGCGGGCGG